TAAGCCCTTTCGCTCTCAGGGGTCAGGCAAAGGATGGGACAGCAAAACTGATGGTACAGCAAGTTTCAGGCCAGAAGGACCTATGAATAATTACCCACAGAGAGAGGGAGCGGATTCAGGGCAGCCCTTCAGAAGCTGGAATAATAAACCAGAGTGGAGAGTGAATGCAGGCAGTCAGGAAGGAAATGGAGCCCCATTGCTTGCAAGCGGTCAAAACAGGAATGAGATTTTGCAAGCTTCTTTGAATTGGTTGCCTGATGTGTCACTGGAGAAGAAAAGCATGGATTTGCTACTAAAGACACACCAAGATGTGGGTATGCTTGGGCAGTCTGCCCATGGTGGTGGATTTCCAGATAAGCCTTACAATTCTCAGATTTCAGATGTTGATGGTATGGGAAGTAATGGGAGGAACATTGCATACAGTGGTGTTGATCATGCTGCATACCAACGGAAGAAAACTAGTAAAGCTTTTGATTACCTTAAGACGTGGAGGTTGAAAATGAACATGCCCACAGATTCTTTTATGGTAGAGAAGGAAATATCAGAACTTGGCAAAAGGCAAAATTCTGGTTCTTCAGTTGTGGATACATCACCTCTTCAAAATACAGATTATGCCCAGACCGCAGTAACTCTTGGATCCACAAGGTCAACTAGTGTAGATGAAAGGAGTTATCCAAGTAACGTACTCTCTAAAAAAGAATATACAGCTCATTCGTCAGATACTCAGTTTGATCGACATCTGTATGGGCCATCAGATGGGGATTTCTCTAATGCAGATCACAATGTCAAAGGAGGAAGCAGAATAAGTGAGCCGTCATGGAAGTGGAGGAGCAATGCACAAACCAATCAGGTCTCGGGATACAAGAGGAACTATACCACAGTAATGACAAGTCAGACTTCATTAAAGACTGGAGGCAGAGACCCATCACCTTTATCAGGGTCACTTGAAGCCAAGAGACCAAGGATACCATTGTCATTTAATGAGAATCCCAGGCATGTCACCCAGCAGTATGATGGGTCTTTCCAAGATCAGACGTTTGGACATGGTAATGATTCTAATTCTTATAATTCTTCTGATTGGAAAAGTCAGACACCTTTTCCAAAGAGGGGAAGCTCAGATTGGCCCACTAGATCTGATGCTCAGAGCTTGGAGCCAACAGCTGATAATTGGATTGGCTCACGTGGACAAATTGAGTCTCAATCTCCAAGAAGAGCGAATGGAGGGAACTCCCCACAACAAACAAACTGGTCTGACTCCCCAGGATTGCTGCAGAGGGACTGTGGGGAGTCATATCCTCGAAGATTGTCACCCAGAGGTAGGTCTCCTGAACAGTCATCATCATCAAGGCTCCTAAGTGCACCTTCCAGAGGACGATCACCAGGACCCATAACGTCTAAAGCAAGGTCAACAGGTGCAAATAGAGGATGTTCACCAAGGCTGCCGCAGCGGTGTTCTTCTCCAGGGTCCGTGGCTTCTAGGGGGAAATCTCCAGGTTCTTTCAGAGGAAGGTCTCCTAGGTTTTCTCCTAAAGGTAGGTCTCCAGTATTGTTGCAGAGAGGAAAGTCCCCTGGAATCCCATTCAAGCAAAGGTCTCAGGGCCCTTCTTCAAGAGGAAAATCTCCTAGGCCCTCATCCAGGGGCAGATCTCCAAGGCAGCACAGTAGGAGGTCAGTAAGCCCCATTGCTGATAGAGTGTCGTCTCGGTTGGCAAGAGGAAGATCAACAGGCTCCCAGAGGTCAGCTGATCGAGCAAGTAGAGGAAAGTCACCAGTTCAATCTGCTAGTGGCAGGCTTCAGTATCAGCATACTCGAGGAAGGTCACCAAGAAATACATGTGAGAGGTCACATGGTAAGTCTCCAACCATTACACAAAGACGGTCACAAAAATCATCTGAGAGATCCCCCATTGGTAGAAGAAAGTCTCCTGGGCATTTCAGGAGAAAGGGATCACCAGGAGTTTTTGGCAGAAGCAAGTCACCAGGATTTGTTGGAAGAGATAGATCTCCTAGGCCTATAGGTAGAAACAGGACTCAAGAACATGTTGGCAGAGGCAGATCTTCAAGACAATTGAACAGGGAAAGATCCCCTAGACAGTTTGGCAAAGACAGAGTATCTAGATACATTGGTAGAGATGAATCTCCCAGGTACTCTAACAAAGACAGATTTCTTAGAAGTAGATCTCCAAGCAATGTTAGTAGAGGTAGGTCCCCAGGACATTTGCAGAGTGACAAGTCCCCAAGGGGTAGTGGTAGGGGCAGGTCTTATGAAAACAGGCAAAGGTCTGAAGAGCGAATTGATAGATCATCAGATCATGTTACCAGAGGCAGGTCACCAAGATTAATTACTAAGACAACAGTGAGGCAGTCTTCGAGTTCAAAAGAGAAGAGATGGTTTGAAGAAGTAAGTGAGTCTATAGATAAAAAGCATCTTAACCAGAGGAAAGGGCCTGAACCATTGACAAGGGGAAGGGCTGCCCATGGATCTCCGAAAACCCTTCGT